TTGTGCTACTTGTTTGTAGGATACACGCTTTCATATTTTTTTTAGCTAACAAAAAACTATTTGAGGAGAGGGCAGATTTTCTTTGCCATAGGGTGCAACAAAAAATGTAGCACAGCAGATTTGGGCGTTGAGTTTGATGCCGGTTTGCCAAAAGTTATGGTGTTATTATGAACAACCAATGGACGTACCTACTCTGATTGATGTAGTGGGCAGTCTTGCACTTTTACGTTTGTCTGAAAAACTAACTGCAAAATAGTCTCTCGTCATCCCCACTCCAACAATGTGCGAAACAAATCTTCCGAAACAACATGATATCACTCAGATATGCCAAAGGAAGAAAAGCAAATGTGATTGTTTTGCTTTGTCTGTCGCTACCTCCGGCCATGTTATGATCTGGATGGAATGTAAAAAGCAACAACGGAAGACGAACGGGTCAAATGTGTTGATTCCAACTTCCAACAACCTTGACATTATGTACTGTGGTCACATTTATTCACAGCGACGCAAAATTACTCCAATAGGACCGTGATAAGAGAACTGCAAAATCACAAGTCAGACGGACGGCTTAGCTAGAAAAGTAGAGGACGTTTAGAATCAACCATCCTTGAGTTGTCAGACCAAAGATGCAAGTCAGTAAACTGTAATGTGGCTTTGAGTGCATTCCAGACATTACAAAGTACAATGTTACATGGTCAACAAATTTTAATCAGACATGGAAAGTAGATGGATGGATGGATGGATGGATGGATGGATGGAAATTTGACGTATAAAAGCTCGCACAATACGGATTTCACCATTCGTTCTAATTTACAACTATGGCGTTTCCGAAAAAAAAAAATCCACCTGTTGCTGAACCTAACCCTTAATTCATCAATATTACTCAATATATGTCTATAATTACATGTTATCCATCCATACATTATCTGAACTGCTTTAACCTCACAAGGGTCGCGGTGGGTGCTGGAGCCTATCCCAGCCATCTTCGGGTAGTAGGCAGGGGACACCCTGAACTGGTTGCCAGCCAGTCTCAAGGCACACATGGACCAACAACCTTTCACCTTTCATACCAACAATTATTCCTTCACCTTGGGACAATTTTGAGTGTTCCATGAATCTACCATCCATGTTTTTGGAATGTCGGAGGCAACTGGAGTACCCGGAGAAAACCCACGCAGGCACAGGGAGAACATTCAAACTCCACCAATGAAGGCCGGAGCCGGAATGGAACCCTGCACCTCTGCATTGTGAGATCAACACACTAACCAGTCAATCATCGTGCCACCCTTGGATTGAATTAATAATTATAATCAATACATTAAATAAATATAATACTGTGTAGTATAAATATAACAATGTGTAGTACTAGTTATACATGATCTCCATTGCGAGACTAATAAAGGTTTTCTTATCTTATCTTATCTTATCTTCTTCTTATTATTATTATTACGTTTTTATTTGGTGCCCATAATCTATATCAGTGACACAAAGGAGTATTAGGGCCACATTGGAAACTGAACAATATAGTCCAGCCCTGAAAAATCTCTGTGTCTCGTTCTGTTATGGTTGATGGTTTTGGTGGTGGAGGTAAGATGCGGACCTATGTGTCAGGAAGCAGGAGAAACAAGACAGGATTGCAGGATGTACTCTACAGGTTCAACAAAATGAATTTATTTTCAAGAACAAAATGGCAAACAAGGCTCGGGAAATATCACAATACAAAACAAGAACCTTAGTAACTAAGAAACAAAAACCCGTACAGGACACAGGACACATTCAAAAAGCATGAACCAACAAAACCAGAAAGAAACCACTCATCTATCCATCCATTCTCAACACCGGTTATCCTGAAGAGCGTCACGGGAGTTGCTGGTGCCTATCCCAGCCGACTTTGCACGGAAGGCAGACTACAACCCCGAACTGGTCGCCAGTCAGTCGCAGGGCACAAAGAGATTCACAAGAAAGAGACCAGGGGACTAAATACGTGTTGAGTTTGGTTGAGGGAGCTGATTGGAAGACACAAGAAACCAGGTTGACAAAATAACCGAATGAGCTGGAAAAACATGAACCACAGGAAAACAAAACATAACATGAAACAAAACTAAATATAATCCAAACAACCAAAAATACAGCTCATGACACATTCACATTTTTCACAAACCATAATTTATGATTTCAAATTCACTCAAAATCAGTGCCTTGCGATGTCAGCAAAGACTGGCCTGCATAAAAAAAAAAAAAATTACACAGCATCGAGCAAGCATGCAAGCTCCAGACAGGAAGGCCAAAACTGAGACTCGAACATGAACTTCAGAATTGTGAAGCAGATGTGCTCACCGCCATTATATTCTGCCCTAAAGCGTTTTGTCTTTTTAATGTCTTTCTCACGTGTGTACTCAGTACTGAGAAAACCGCAGGCAATTTCAAGGAGCAACAGTTTACGATATTGTCGAACTGGATTCAGTATTTAAAGGGTAGGATTTATTGTAATGGAGGAACAGTGGAAGACTGGTTAGAATTTCCGCCTCACAGTGAAGAGGTGCAGGGTTTGACTCCAGCCCGGTCTTCCTGTGTGGTGTTTGCGCGGATTTTCTCCGGGTACTCCGGTTTCCTCCCCCATTCCAAAAAACATGCGTGGCAGGTTAATGATATTGTCGAACTGGATTCAGTATTTAAAGGGTAGAATTTATTGTAGTGGAGGAACAGTGGAAGACTCGTTAGAAAGTCCGCCTCACAGTGAAGAGGTGCAGGGTTTGACTCCAGACTCCTTGACCCGCCTATTTTCTAGTTGCAAATATTCGACTAATCGGATCATGTAAATTGCAGCATATCTCTCAAGCAAACAGGAGCTGTGACCATTATTAACCGTGCTTGCGTGGATTTTCTCCAGGTACTCCGGTTTCCTCCCCCATTCCAAAAAAAATGCGTGGCAGGTTAATAGGGCCAATCTAAATTGTCCCTAAGTGTCATTGTGAGCGCGGATGGTTTTTCGTCTATGTGTGCTCTGCATTAGGCTGGCAACCAGATCAGAGTGTACCCCGCCTATTTTCTAGTTGCAAATATTCGACTAATCAGATCATGTAAATTGCAGCATATCTCTCAAGAAAACAGGAGCAGTGACCATTATTAATTTCAGGTACGTCCAAATTAATAACAACAAAAAAAGACAATTAAGTTGATAGTGCATTCATCTTTGATTAAACTTTGCAGCATGTATCAGCATTCCTGACATGTTTATAAATGATGGTGCAACTTAAATTGAAGGCAATACTGTGGCTTTAATGGTGTTATCTGTAAATGTTGCATATATTTCAAAATGGAACCAACAACTACTGAATAACATAGGCGAGAGCAGGGGTCGCCAACCTTTTTGAAACTAAGAGCTCCTTCTTGGCAACTGATTAATGTGGATGGCTACCAGTTTGATAGTATGCACTTTTGAAATAAATTTCCTCAAACTACCTTCATATGTAATAATGAATGATTAATTATATTGATCACATTAGCGACTTCTCACAATATATATATTTCAAAATGGAACCAACAACTACTGAATAACACAGGCGAGAGCAGGGGTCGCCAACCTTTTTGAAACTAAGAGCTCCTTCTTGGCAACTGATTAATGTGGAAGGCTACTAGTTTGACACTTTTGAAATAAATGTGCCCAAACTACCTTCATTTGTAACAATGAATGATTAATTATATTCATCACATTAGCGATTTCTCACAATATTTATGAAACAGATCAATCTCAATTGGCCACACTTTATTATAAATATCTGCCAGAATTCACAATTTGAAATAATCTACAATACTCCAGGAGAATCACAGTGCCTAATCACCGGTGAGCTATTTTTGGAATAGGCCCGCGGGCTACTCATGTAGTCCTCGAGAGCTCCCCGGTGCCCGCCGGCACCATGTTGGTGACCCCGGGGCTCGAGCAACCACACATATAATAGAAATTACCTGACTGTCTGTGGTAACATTTTGAATGTAGTTTTCATGGATTCATTACCAACAGCCAGCAGTGCCAACTAGGCATTGGTAAGGGTGGCAGCTGCCACCACTTGCAGGCCTGCAAAACCGCCTCTGGGCTGCTAGAGTGAGAGTTTTTCAACCCCATGATTTTTAGTCTTGCACAAGACACTATGCATTCCCCATAAATTATCCTTGCAACAAACAATTCTATGAAACAAGGCCATGAGATTCTGTTGCTTCATCGTTTTCCTTTTATGTCTTTCCTGTCCCTGTTTTTTGATTTTTTTTTTTTTCCTGGATAAAATCCCAATCTCTTACTCAAGGCCTCTCTGCATTTCCTTTTTTTAACCATCTACTTTCAAATGGAGTAAAAGTAATCAGTAAAAGCACACACAACAGAAAAGTGTCCCAAGTACACTCACAAAGTAGTTTTGGTGTTTTGCTACTTCCCGCCACTGGTTCAAACCTTCTCGAGTTTCTGTAACTTGGTTCAAAGCCACGTTTATGGCTTTGTGTCACATGGTGTAGAAATCAGAGAACATTGTGTATGTTATGTTTACACATGGTAAAAATAACCAGGATCAGCGCGGAGATAGAACAAACAGTCCAAGAGGAAATTAAATCCACATTTCACTCCGTGCGACAATGAGGCTTTCGCAGCTCTGGGCCCGGAGAACTGCAAATGGAAATTTTGGGCCAGAGAAGTGCGCAATAAGAACTGTCAGTGAGCCGACTTCAACCTGTAATTGTTGTTTGGATCCGCTGGGTGTGGCCTGTTTCCAGCGAGTGGTGCCTCTGGCAAGAATATATTTTTGACTCACTTCGCTGCAGAACACCATGTACCATTTCACGAACGGGTAACATTGAAAAAGAGGCACACAAGTGAACCGTGTTAATTCAGTATTTATTGAAAAAAAGAAACACAATTAGGAAACTTTGGCAACATTGTATAAAAATACATTCTTTGCATTTTTCATGCACGAGAATACAGTTGACCCTGAAGATTTCTTTGCGTCTCATTAACATTTTTTTTTAACATGAGCAAAAGTCATAATCCCAGAGTTAATTTTTTTTTGGAATGTTCTTGTCCGTACACTCCGGAGGCATCTCCATCTTAAAGCTTGTCTTAAGTGTGTTCTGGTTGAGCTTCCCAAAGCGGCTCAGACCAACGAGGCATCTGGCTCCCATCAAAAGCTTCCAAGCACGCGGTTCAGAGGTCTGCATCTCCTTTTTATGAACAGCTAGGGGAGCTTATCAGTGAGCCTCATGCACTTTAATAAACACACAGCCCATTTTGTTTCTGCTTTGTGCAAACAAAACTCAGCATCCACTAACTATCTGACACTTCCAAGTTGCGCAACACAACTGTTTTTGGTTCTAGTTTTTTTCCTAACTTCCTCTTTCACAACGGATGTTTAAGGCAAATGTACTTTTCCCTTTTAAGTATTTTTTTACTGCATGCATAAAACACATTTCCGTCTTGCTCCAACCATCAATACAATGTTCATTTGCAGTATGTGCTTGATTAACAGTAGAAATTGTCACAGGCACTTGTGTCTTTTGGCTTCCATCGTGTAGCCAGGCAAAAGGGACGTAGAAACTGAACAATAATTGCACTTCTCTTTACACCGTTCAAAGATGACAACATAATCGTAAACATGTCAACTGACAACAAGGCACTTACACCTGACCTCACCCCTTCCACACATCCCATATTCTTTAAATCTCAATTCAGGTGAGGGAATCCTTCTTTGGGAAGTGTTTGTAACTCACGTCATCAGGATTTTTCAAAAAAAGAGAGCAGAAAAACATTTTTTTTTTTTAAATCACTGACGCAGAGCCACTGCTTCCATCTTAGCAGAACCGCAAGGAGTCCACGTAAAGACTGGAAACAAAGCAGGGGCTTGCTCCTCCGTCTCCAAGCCCCCAATGGTGGCGACGGCGCCAACTTTCACCGCGGCGCTCACCGCAGTCTCTCAGTGACGCTGGTACGACCAGGTGCCACTTTTCAAAGAGGAGGAATCGGATAAATCTCCTGATTCGTCGGATTAATCTACATCGCTCCACACTCAGGCAGGGTCTTGCAGTTCAGCACGTCATGCAGCGAGGCCTCATGTGGAAAGGCTGAGGGTTGGGGTCAACCTGGAGAAATAAAGAAAAAGGCATTTAATGCCAACATGTTTTTTTTTCTCCATTCTGGAGTGAAAATAAATCCCATACACACCATTGACACTGTAGAAAAATCGATCTAAATTGCATTCACGGGCTGTCCAACACGCGCTTATACACGCTAACCATGAAACCATTTTAGCAGATCAGAATGTGAAGAAATGTATTTCACTGAAATTTTGCCTTCAATGTAACAGCTAGAAGGATATGATCCACACCATGATGTCAGAGGTGCCTGTGCTTTTTTTCAGACAGTCCATTCAAACCAGTCAAAGTAAATCAACAGTGAGTTGGGGGCATGGTTTTTCCTCTCTCACCTCACTGTACACAGGCGGCGGTCGGAAGCGGAACTCCTGCACAAATGCCATCAAGGGCCGCTCGAGGATCCCACTCAGATCTTCGGCCGGCTGCGAGGCCGCTGCGTTGTTGTTGCCGCACTGCTCTGCCTCCCCCTCCGCCACCACAGAGCTGTACTCTGGAGGAGCTACAAGCAAACAGGCACAATTACTCTGCTGCTCTGACTCAGAGCAGAGCAGAACGTGTCCAAACGTGAAGCTGCTGACTCATCACTGCAGGCAAATCTCATTCGAAAAATATGCTTTTATGGGGTTGGAGTTCGGCCTTGTGCCGAGTTCACATTTAACAAGCATCCAACTTAATGCCCACGCGCTGATTCATCTTGAAAACATTATTTGATTATTTAATCAGAGTTTTGCTTTTTTTTTTTACAATCACTTAAGTGAATTTTTGGATTAGCAATATCTGGACATTTGAATTTGTGAAATGAAACATCATCCAAAACTTGTCGAATAATATCTAGTAAACATTTAAAATCCAATTCCAATGTCCATGTTGAGTACTTATGCCTTCCCTCTATCCTGAGTGTACTCGACAATACAATGAATGAAACTTACGCTCAGGCTGCTCTGGGATGGCCAGACGAAGCCACTCCAGATTGACGCTGTACTGGCTGCTGACGCTTGAAGTCCTGCTTCCAAACGGATGGAGCGGAATGGTGCCTATGACCAAAGGCAGCTCGAGAAACAGCTTGGAGGTTCCCGGGACATCGACACACACCTGTTGGTACAAGACGGCAATAAGTTCCGGGTAAGTTGGTGAGGAGGGCAGATCCAATACAGCGGAGAGGTGTATTCGGCAAACAAAAACTGGAAACAATCCGGTAACTGAGCTCACCTTGAGCATGTATTCCACTTTAATGATGCGACACTGCAGGATGGACGGACCCACGGGCGGGATCTTGATTGCGCGACCGTGCCACGTCTCCCTGCACCTGGCGCCCACCACGTCGCCGCTCAGCGTGGCCACCACGGCGCGCTTCTGCTTCATGGTGCCGCGGGCGATGAAGGTCTGAGTCTGAGTGATGTATGCTTTGGGCACGATTGACCGCGAAGTCGAATTGTCAAACTCCGCGAAAACAGGTATGACCTCGCCTGTGGAGACGAAGGGGAGGATGTTACGGCTGAGTCAACTTACAAACAGCAGATACATCAATCATAGAATCATGATACACCAACATGCATGTCTACTTTATAAGTGAATCCATATCGTGGTGCATCTTTTTCACGAATTTAGAATTAGTGCATAAGAGTACAGGCAAATCCAAAGTGGAAGAGTTGCACCCGTTCGGTGTAGTACCACGTTGTGCCTTAATATTCCAGGCAGCACTGAGCTCTGCTGGATGTACATATGCGGTCGAATTAAGAAAAAGCAAGAAGAGAACAGGAAGGTCCTTTATTTACCCACGGAGCACATGAGCACTGTTGTTTGTATGTTCTACTCTTAGGTGTCTCTCTTCTGGGTTTTAAAGTGGCCTGTCCATGACATTTTGCATTATCCGCTAACATTAAGATAGCAGACCTTCCTTTGATGACATGATAACATTCAAGTGAAAACTGTTGAAATAGTAACCCATTTTTGTTTTACGTCAGTTTTGCCAGAATCTTCTACCCGGGGCAACAAATAGAAAATGATGGTAGCACGCTATGTCTCTTATCCAGACAACTGTGCGAGTGTTGTTTTCATCGCCTCAAAGTGACGCTATATGATGGTCTGCCATTTCCTGACAGCCAAAAGAGTGAGAACAAGTGTGAGGGAAACTTAAAGTACATTTCAATAAGCTCAAATGCGTTCAAAGCACGTGACAGGGTGAAGCATTTTATATTGTCTCACTATATCATGGAACAGGGGTACATTGCCTGTCTAATTTGTCTTTCCAAATTAGCTGGGACCAGACCAGCTAAAGTATCCATTTTCAGTACACACTGAAGTTACCAAACATGGTTCCTAAAGTGATCAAAGGTTGAGTTGGCACAATCTTACCTGGTGTATATCCTTTGCGGTCTATTTTTGCAGTAACAGACACTTGTCCAAAGTTTCGGTACCACGTCCGTGCCATCTTATCCTTCGTTCCAGCCTGTGGTGCCTGAGAATGAGGAAAGAGCAAAAAATAATTGCAAGTGTACTTGAAAAAAAATCATGAGACCAGAGTGAAATAAAAGAACAAAGGAGCAAGGAGGCTCACCAGTAGCGCTGGTGTGTTTATGTCGATGGGCTCAATGACGGTAAATTCCTTCTTGATTTTCTTGACGGTGGCCCAGGGCCGATGCAGCTTCACTTTGATCCAGTAACGAATGCTGCCATGTTTCCCCTCAAAGGAGGTGACCAACGTCTCCTCTGGCAGCTGGAAGCTGAATGGGAATTCATGTCTGCCTGCAGGAAGTACGGTCACGTCGCCATTATCTAAGGAAGACAAATGGGACACCACCCGTAAACTTTAGACTTAATTCTCCCTTCGATTACCAGTAATCACATTTTGTTTGTTTATGTAAAAGGTTTAGCCGGAAACGAGCATAATGGCATCATAAAAGTTGATCTTTCTTCAACTTGTTTATCTCGTTTAGCACGTACTAATTCATAAAGCATTTAAAGGTTGAGGCCAACATATACACCGACAACATTCATACTCGAATCAAACAGCAGCAGAAAATCATACAAGACTCCACTCAAATATAATTCCCTTTCCCAGCATCACATTGGCCTGCTTGCTCTGAGGGGCGGTTCCTTCTGCATTGTGCTGACAGGGAACGTGTTTTCCTCAAGCCCTTCTCAACTGATCTGCCCCCCCCCCACCCCCCTCCACCCCACAGTTGGTGTCAGCGAAGACCCACGAACACGTGTTTTTGTTTAACACGCGCTGCGTGTTCGTGTCCCTTTGTTGCTCGAAGCTCCCAATTGATTCCCAGTACAATACCATCGCTGTCAACTGAGTTAGTGAATGCGTTTAGGTACACCTGCGCACAAGTTCTCTTAGCATACTACTCATACAATAAGCACAATATAGTTTGATTCTATATTGTCGGTTGTAAGTTGATAAGAAAAAAAAAACAAGTCGAACGAAGAAAAACAGCATTGCATAACTTAAAACTGAAGCCTTGGCAGTGAATTTCCTCTTTGTGTTTTCACCAAACGTGCCCAATGACTGAGAGGGCAGGAGAGAAACAAAGATTGACTCGACTTAAAAGTGTTTGATTTGTGCTATTCCTTTCAACGGTTGTTTTCACACTGACAGGGTGGCTGTGGCAGAATGTTTGCTCACTTCGACAAGTTTACTTATTATGGTAGCCCGTAAACAATGAAAACATCTCGACCAATATGAAACATGAATTGGGAGGAGTGCGTTTCAACTCTGCATTAACACTACTGTACACACTTTTGAAGATTACAAGTGACGCTAAATACTAAACCATTTTGAGGAACTACGACCCTCGTGAGAACAGGCGGTTCGGATAACGGCTGGATAGAAGATGTCAAATAGGGATTTATAAACCACACCGTAACAGCAATAATCCTGAAAGTGTCTGTCAATAAGCAACTGTCATACTTGGCACGAGGGGTCTCTGGCACCCTATGGTGATGCACATAACAATAATTGAGTGAGGGGATGCAACCTTCACCGAGGCGAGGACCCAGGACTGACTGACCTGCCTGCAGCAGCACCTCTCTGCGGTTCAAGTACTCCACCTCGTCGCTATAGTTTTGCGTATAGGCAGTGCTGGAGCCGGCCGACCGGGACTCGGTCCAGTGCACTTTGGCGAAACCTTCGGCGTGGAGCTTCAGCGAGTCCACGCGACTCTCCCCGGTAAATTCCAGCACCACCCGGCCGGACACCACGTCCCCGCTGCTGTACACGGGAGGACAGTCCACGTCCGGGGCGTCGAAGACGATGTCCAACTTTTTCAACTTATCGAAAATCATTGTTGCCACTCGTCTTAAGTTATTCCTTTCAGCGTGCGGGGCAGCAAATAATTGTAAGTGGATGTTTGCGCTTGCCCGTTTAGAGTCGAGACTGTTTTGCAGTTTCGGTTGGAGGCCTATTTGGAGGAGGAGAAAGTGGGCGGGGCGGCCATGAAGATTGATTATGTAAGCCTCAGGAGAGGGCTGAAGGCTGGGCGATGAGGCCTTCACGTACTCCTCCTTTGCAAAGACGTCTCAGTACTTGTATTTGGTCAGTTGTACATTGGCTGTATTTAATTGAAATTGTTAATATCTGAAATCTAACCGATAAACGTTATATGCAAAATTAACAAAACATTTTCGCAAAGAAGATGTGGTTGTTTGCATCAGTTACTGAAAACAAACAAACAAACAAACAAACACGTATCAAGTCTGACAGTCTTGATGTTTACTCAAGAGAGTTATTTGATTAAAGGAAACATTCTGAAACTCTTGTTCATTTTGGACATGAAGGAAAAGCTTTAGAAACATGTCCTGGCAAAGACCGAGTACCAAAAAGTCCCGAAAATGTCAGCACTGATGTGGATTAAAAACGAAAGTGACATAAAAACACACAGGGAACACGAATGCGTCATTCGAATTAACTTCTTTTGTTTTCTCTGCTGCTTAATTTAGCAAGGGGTGATTGCCAAAACGGCAACATTTCCGAGTTGACTTTGAAAGCAACATTAAAAACATGCAGACAGGGTGTGGAGATTACAGCGAGGAAAACAGGGTCTTGACGATCTCGACTGGTGGTTCCAGGTTCTTAGAAGAAAACAGATTTATACCGAGCATGCCTCGGTGTTATATAGAACCTCCCAGAAGAGGAAAATACGTTCACGCTGGCAGGCCCAAAGCTATTTACGCCGATTCTTTCATGTCACCTTGGACACTGCCAAGAAACACACTTTCAAAACAACAATATGCACAAATCAAGAAGCATCTCTCTTCGGGAAAACAACTGCTCCTCTCAATCAGTTTAAAAATAATTATACATTAGCTCTTTCATCAGATCGTTTCCATAACGCGTCTGAGCTCTGTTTCTCTCCAGGCCTGTAAAAGGCCAGTTTAAGACTGTTTAAGTGTTCTTATAAGAGACACTTGAAGGCAGGCAGGGTAGCCCTTGCCTGGCGACATGTACGAGGGAACTTGTCTTAGTCAAGTACAGTGATTATATAGACTAGAATGGAAGTCAGCTGCAGGGGGAGCAGCACGTGCTGCTTTGGGTGACCAAAAAGCAGATGTGCTATATTGCTGCCCTTTTGGCCACCAAGAAGAATTTGACTATGCATGCTGCTGCGAGGGCACACATTTTAAGGGCACTGCAAGAACTAGGTCACTCTGAACAGAATCCATGTGAAAAAATGCCTTTGCACTCAGAAAACGCATCAATCACACTTTAATTCAGCCCTGATCAACTTAAAACCAAAGGTCTGAATCTTGGAAAACAAAGTTGTTTACTCTGTTCACTGGAGCAGGAGTTAGCTCTTTAGTGCCACCTGGTGTCACATTGGACGTAGTGTTCACAGCTGCAGCGCACAACTTGGCTGGGGATGTTAGAATGTGAGAACAGTTGAGGAAGCCTTACACTATTATTTGCCAAACAACAACTGCCCTTTGCTCTTCAGTATGTCTATTTGTAGAACGTGTCAAACGAGCAAGAGATAGCACAGTGTTTGCGTTTTAACCAATGTGGCTTTTAAAAAACTTTAGAACTTCCTGGTTAGGAAAAGGTCAGCCCGGTGGATTAGCACACCTGTCTAACAGTTTTGAGGTTCGGGATTCAAATCTGTGTGGAGCTTGCATGTTCTCCCTTTTATCCAAGGCTTCCTCTCCCATCATATAAGCATACATGTTAGTTAGGACAATGCAAGCCTCAAATTTGTTCTTAATTGTGAATGTGATGGGGGATGGTTGCTTGATTACCAGCCCTTTCCTACAGCAGGAAATTGGCTTGTTCACACACGAAGAACTTTTCCAAAAATAAAGTCTAATTCAAATATTGTTTGGATGACTGTCAGGATAGTCCACAGGTGTGAAGATCAGTGTATTTGCAATTGATTGGCAACCAGTCCAGGGATCACCTCACCTCTTGACCAAAATCAGCTGGCATAGGGTCCAGCTCACCACTCGAATTAAGACAAACGATACAAAAGAAACGGGTGTGTGGAAAGCCAGGACATGGAAAAACAAAAGACAGAAAAGAGCTCCTGACGCCACCTGCTGGTAGGTTGATGGCAGCTGCCTGTATTGCTCCTGATCAGCTGACTACCCACAGCCTGTCATAACCTGATGGCCAAGCTGTCTTTGAAAATAACTTTGACCTATAAAGCATCCTCCTATAAATGTGTATATATTAAGCTTCAGTCGCGGAGTGAAACTAAACTGTAAAGGATCCAGCTCCTTAACTAACCCAAGTACGGTGCCATAAAACACATCAGGACTATCAGACTTTCTGACAACATCCCATCAAATTAATACCTGCATCTAGCAGTGAAGTGGAGGAGGGCAAGCAAAGAGTGCCATGTGTTGTTATGATTGTTGTCATGATAACGCTGCCTGTATTTAAAAAAAAAAAAAAAAAAAAAAACACCCATGCCGTCTTCCTTCCTGTTGCACTCGATTCTCATGCCCTGGTTTGAGCAGCTTGTCAACATTCAACCATAAACACTTAACTATCATTTGTGAAAAAAACAATTTTGTCCCGATGAAACAGCCTCAGATTTCCACGAATAAAGAAAAAAAAAAAAAAAACAAGCAAGACAACAAATAAGGTCTAGCACAGAAGGCCAATGAATCTGTTGACACTCGTTTGCCAGCAACTTGTTCACGTTGCAAACATTTATTTTGGCCCATGTAACTGGGTCATGTTAGATTGCAAATGATAATAAAAAGATAAGTGATGATTGAGGACAGATAAGCCATCATTTATTTTGGTGTTTGTTATGCACGACGAAGTACCGCTCTGCAGCTAAAGAAGACTAGTGCCTCGTCTCAAAGTTGAAAGTTGGACATTTCTCACACTGGGCAATCCATACAACCCTCAAGCACACTTGAGACTATGGGCCTTTTTGGAAAGTGAGAATTCTTGACTTTATACCACCTTCCCTTAACCTTTGTTGGATTATGTTGTCGGGTCAAAAGGAAATGCAAAGGAGCTTCCTTTGGAACTTACGAAGCAAAGGTCAGCAGTGTTTCAAATGAATTTGACTTCACGTTTCCTAACTGACATTATCGCCTGGCAGTGAGTATTGCTGACTTAGTTGCCTATTAATATCTTGGAAAAAAGTGTCTTTTACAATAAGCCGATTGATTTTGGAATTGTCAATCTGTAACAAATTATGGAAAAATGTTTATAACATTATTTCCGAACACATATTTACTTTTGCTTTGAAAATATGTTGCTTGGCTTAATTGACTATCCACTTTTGTTCTTAATGACATTTATAAATGTTGATGTACTGATCGAAAAACTTCCCATTTGCATTTTTGAAAATGAAGTTAAACCACACAGGACCATTATACACTCCAGGAATGCAAAAGGCATTAAAACTTGGCTCTATGTGCTCTTTCTGTATTTTCATAATCCCAGAGTGTGCCTTTTTGCCACCGATCATATGTCAATGGTGTTTGGTGGCTCTGTTTTCGGAATAAATATTAATGACGTCAAGTCTCTAGCTTGCTGTCTTTCATTTTTTCTCTCACTCAAAATTATTTTCCTTAAACCTGTTTTTGTATTTTACAATTTTTTGTCAAGAGCGTTTTTTTTCTCTCGATGGATTGTAATGTTAGTATGATTGAAGCAAATTTTTGTGATTGTTTGATACTGTAATTGTTTATGTATCGTTCTGTGCTTTTTTTGTTAATTATTGAAATAATTTTTCAAGTCTTCAGCGTGAAAATTGAGCGTCCACGCAAAGTCTGTCAACTACATCGGTGCCCTATTGCTTGAAATATTGCCGTCATCGAGAATTGTGGGTAATATCCTTTCATAAAACTTGGTCTGGAGTAACTTTAGCAAAAAGTGGCTTCAAGGTTGCTTCGAGGCACATTACATAAATATTTTTAGAATTTGAGTGACCTATCCTCTGAGTACTTCCATGTATTCTCGCTAGGATAGAATAGGAAAGGAAAATTCCTCAGTAAAAACGAGAATGCCAAGTTGGCCATTAAGACCTGATTGTCTGACTAGCTTGAGCACTCCATACACTTCCACGGCCTGAGCATAGTGAGGACTTGACATATCCTTGCATGGGTTTTCTTAGTTCATTACTGCTTTCTCCAACATTCATGTTAGGTTTGCTGAAAACTGTACACGTGCTGCACTAAAGTGTGAATGGTCGATTGATTATTTTTGCCCTATGAATGAGTGTGCCCTGCCTCTCACCCAAAGTCTAAACAGGATCACTGGAACGAAATAACAATGATGAGAGGACAGCTAGTTAATTAAAACAGTATACGACAGGTCCTGAGAGAGAGACAGAGATTGATTGCCTCGGATTGTTGCCTTCAGGTGAGAATTTGAACATTGAAGACGGTGGTTACTGATGAAAAAAAAAACAACAACAACAATCAATTTATCATTAGCTCATACGTGGCCAGTCTAACTAGGCTGATGGGTCAAAACAAACTGCACTGTGTTGAAAACACTTGATCAAACATTAACTGGCATCTACTGTTTATTCACCGGGTATGATGCAAACGTCAGGTTAAATTTCAATTTCATTTCTCCAGAACTATGTGGACGTGGGTCTATGATCTGTGAATTTATGGATTTCATTCCATTCATTAGCTGACTGATTGATGTATGCGGAAAGCGTTTCCGTTAATCTGGGGTTTCTCTGCCAGTCTTTTCCAACATTTATTGAAACAAAGCACATACCTGACCTAAAAAAAAAAAATATGACAGCAGACCACCCAACAAAAATGACAGGTTAATTATGTATTTTCTGCCATCTAGTGGAAGATCATTTCATTGTTGTGCTGTTACGATACATTGCGGGTATAGATAGTTGAACAAATGTACATTATTTCGAGTAAATAATTGCTGGACCAATCAAATGAAACTGCATAATCTCCGGCAGAACCGTTTAAGATCTCTCACAGCATGTTGGGAATCACCGTTGTATGCACCGCAATGCAAAAGACAGTGGTTAATCACCGGGTAGGTCCTGACAGTGAAATTCGACAGTTCAGCAAAAACATTATGATGACACAGTGAGAATCTGCCCACCAAGTGCCAGTTACTTCATATGTTATTTTATGGGTTAAAGGGTCTAAATCTCAAATCACGGTCAGGAATCCCTTATTAGCAATTGGACACATACTCCTGGGGAGTATGCCAACCAGAAAGATTAGAGTAATAAAGTGTTTCATTAAGTTTACATTATATGGCATATTTATTATTGCTAACTGGTCCATTTCTTAGTAGTTCACTGCCTTATTTTATTTTTATCTACATTTGTTGTGCAGTAGAATAACATTGTTTGAAAGGAAGGAACGTTAATAAAATGTGGAATGACTCTATAATTATTGTTGTTGTCATTACCAGTGCTTTAAAACTGGCAATGAAAAAGAAAATGGTTGCCGGTCTGCGAACAGCATATACTTGTCTCAACCTGTCCGTGACACAAAAAAGGTTGGGGACCACTGATTAATTAGACACTACTACTGTACTCTGAATAGGATGTCTGTGCATCCCTAAAGCCACACATCTTTGCAAGTTCTCATGAAATTTTAACAGTTTTTTTTTCGTAAAACGGTTATTGCTGACGACTTTTGCATTACTAACCTCTGATCAGATGCTGCCTCTTTCTGAAATAAGTGAACCTGGAGGTGTAGTCGTTATAGACGGAGTTCATGCCGCGGTTCTCCAGCCAGTGTGCAGTAGCTACACCTCGTCCCTGCACCTTCATGGAGTGCACTTTGGTGTCCCTGCAGAGCTCCAACACCACTTGGCCCGAAACCACCTCTCCTCCAGTGAAGGCAGCATCTCCCTCACCATCCAGCTCCAGTTTGAAAGACTTAATTGGGTTCAATTTCAATGACATTTCTGTGTGTCAAGGGAAATAAGACAGGTATGATGCAATTAGCACAATGAATACAGTCCAATTCTTTAGGGTCGGGGGGGGGGTCCCCACTATAAAAATAAGGGGGGGGGTCTCCCACTATAAAAATAATCATCCCATGTCATGGGAGAATCCAACATAGAAAATTAAAAGCGGTTTACTTACTAGTTTATTCCGTTCAACCCTACAGAGCGTACCACTGCAAGTTCACTGCAAATATCTTCAAACTATTCTGCCCAGGTTATTTATATACATTGTACACGTGGTTGGTAATCATAAATGCGAGGTTGCATACTTCCACCACGGTGACAACAAGCAGATTAAACGATAATGTCACTTTTCAACCAATAGGTCTTGAGAAATGGCTTTACGCATTACAAAAACAGACTATCTGTCTACGGCTCGTTGCACCGTCACGCTGTCGATGTTCGTGACTCACCAGCGGGACATGGGGAATCCTCTCGAAGAACCGAAGAGAACTCGAATCAACTGTGAGTGGGGAGACGCAGTCGGGCGTGTTAGGCAGCAATCTTTAAATAACACGTCTGTAAGGCTTGAGCGCCCAGTAACGCAGTTTCGCTCCTCCACCAATCACAATGGCCGCACGTGAGTCACGTCTGCCCACCAAACACTGGAAGTTGATTCGAATGTTTTGTCATTTCAGAGTAAGTTTTGTATCGATAATTTGTTTCTTTACCCGTCAGAGTTTACAGAAACATAAATTTAAAATGAAGTTATTTCATATAATTCGCCATGTCTAACAAGCACAATGCTTTGGTCACTACGTGCAAAATTGACAAATTGATTTCTTGGTGCACGTGGCTGCCATGCACTTATTTTGAAGGAATCAACGTGTTGTCGACATTTTTGCTTCTCCCTATTTCTGAGACTTCCGAATGCTACTGAAACCAACTGCCAAAACTCACAGCACAATTTATTTTTCTTGCAACATGTTGTATTTGACCAGCTCGGATAGTGACAGGAATCGCGAGTATTTCATTTTCATCTGCAGTCAAGTAGCAGTGTACCCCACGAAAAAGAAGAGAGGGGAAAAGCATACAACAGCATGGTTTTGTGGAACAGACTCAACCGCTGACTGGAAAAAAAAAGTTTAACGTGGCTTCATGTCAGAAAACTAGGAACAGTCCAAAATTCACATTCACTTCAACCTCTGAAAGTATTAAAACAATCATAAAGTATTAAAACAATCATCACAGTATTTGGGATTTTATTGCCATTAAGGTTTGTCCTCCCAATGGACATTGACTATCAAGCTTAATGTCACTTATTGTTAGGAAAAAAAACACAACAGCCACCAAAATTCATGTGCACATCTCCACTCATGTCTACAATACATCAATCTCCAAAAATATCAAAACAATCAACCCGATATTTTGGATTTTATGCATGTGTGGGATTTATGGAAGTGTTTTCGTCTGTGAAAAAAAAAGCTTTATATCACACGGTGTCAGAAAACTACGACCAATTGCCACCAAAATTCATGTGCACATCTCTAACTATGCCCACATCAACTGAAAATATCAAAACGATCGCACCAATATTTGAGATTGTGCAGCCATTACCGCCTTCCTCTCTATAAGTGGCAACTCAGGCTTAAAACTGGGTCGCGAACCCCAAAACTTTCTTGACAGTAATATATTTTTTGTGCCCGACTAGTCCAAACACGGCATTCTGATGAAAATGTGCATGTGAATTTTGTTGACGATTGGTCATCGTTTTCTAACATTGACCAAAATGACAGCAGCAAAAGAAAAAAAAAAAACACAACCAAGATTTGAACTGTTGGTCCCTGGACTCTTCCGACTGAGCCAAAGCCACCCAGCAACACCAACATGCTGGTGTTGCCCCGATGGTTGCTGGTGCCACCACCAGCAAGACCAGCTGATCAGCAGCTCCGGGCTGGACCCCAACAACATGCTGGTCCTGCTGGGTGCTGTGGCTCAGTTCATAGAGCAGGCTACCCGGTGACCAAAGGTTTGGTTGTTTGATTTTTAGCAGCTTATTTTACTTTTGCTGCCGCAACTGTTTTGCTCTTGCTGGTGACACTAGCAAGACCAGCACAAAAACACATTCTTATTATTTCTAGGAAATTTACTGTGCATAATCTGAAGACTGTTTATGACAGACAGAATGTAATCAATGAGGCTACAATCTTGAGAAGCATTTTTTAAAATTTTCGTTATGTATTTAGATGCATCATTTTCAGTGTTGTCGGGGACCTCAATCAAACACAATTTTAAGCGGTTATGCAGGATTTCCAAGTGTGACTTTAAGCAACGACTTCTTAGCTGGGAAACACTGTATTTGCACAACGAATTAATTGTAGTATCTTGGCTAATACTGCATGACATTTTGTTTGAGATGAAACCATGCTCTTAACATTCAAGCACATGGACTTATTTATTGACATCTTTATTTGACAAGAACAATGCAGTCAAACAGTTACAAACTTGCAGCTGATGCATGTACAGTAGTTTAAAGCTAGTGCTAACTACCAACTCGTCCCAAATTGGGCACTTTCCCGCCAGTGCGGTACAGCATAAAATTCCAAATATACATCAATTAAAAGGCCATATCACACAAGTCTATAAATCACCAATCCAATAGTGCATATGTGACATAAAATGTTGACTCACTCTTAATGGTGCAGTACAAGATATCCAGTAAATCAATTTAAAAATAAAAAATCTCATGATTCAGTACTTCATTCTATGATATGAATGAATAATTGAAGCTGACTGCAGCCAGCTATCATTCTAGCTTGTACCCCTTGCTGCTGTTTCACCAGGTTAATGAACTCCGAATTCACTTTATTTACATTTTCGTGCCAGCCACTGTTTTTTGTTTCACAAGCCTACATATCAAGGCCAGGGCTATGTTTCCATTACAACAGATTGTTTTTTGAAGGCTCGTGTCATGTCAGTCATGCACAAGAATCCCACTGCAAAAACACACAGCAATCTTCATCTTGAAGTTGACCATGTAAACAGGGTTGAAGTAGGACAGTCAGGGCAGAGGTTTATGTTTAAACCACATAACTGCAAAGGTTGGACTTTCATATTGCCTAATTTAGCCCTCCACACACCTTGCATATGAATTTGTATTTGTTCCCTGCAAATGCTTCTTGAATTATCAGCCAAGTAAAGGTCTGCGTGCATAAAACTGAAAGAGCAGGCAGTTCAAATTACTGGAAATCTGGGAAACATTACCAGATTTGAATTACTGTTTTAAATCCTGCAAGGTTTGTTGCGTTTTGGAATACCTCAAATGTATTGTTTGACGCACCTAAAATTTGTTACAAAAGCACAAAATGAATGGTATGAATGTTGTGTAGTACATGTATTCCTTTCACAAACATTTTTATTGAACGAAAAATCACCCTGCAGTGTATTTGGCCTGAATGGGAAGTCCCCATGTCGGGCGCTCAGTATATTTCGTAATGATCTTCATATCAAATGCCCTGCAATAAATATTGTAATCAAAATCGATTTCATTCTTCAATTTGACTAATGCTATCTCCCTTTAAAATGATCTTATTTTTCCACACGCAATACAAAATATTTTTTTGCCTTAAAAAAAGATATTGTTAGATTTGGGGCTATGGACTTGGTCCACCTCAACCAGGGAGAGGTGTATATGTACCTTTCATTTGGATAATATGAAAAAAATGTTTCTAGACACTCACATTTAACATTCAAACCAAGTATGAGGAACAGCTTGTTCTTCGTCACATTACGTACCTCTGTACAGTATTAGGGACGCCACCCAGGTTTCTAGCAGGGTTATAATGTATGACTTGTACTTGTGTTCTGATGAGGCTTTGTAAGCCTGAGTGGCATTGACTCGTATTATTTCAACATCATGCCTAACGATCAGCATCATTTGGAATTTGCAGATGGTTCAGCACAAACTTTAGTTGGTCATGAATACAGAAAATATCCATTTATTTCAGATTGCTATTTTAGGTTTCCCTGATGATAATATCAAATGCTTAGTCTAAATACTGATTTTTTTTTAACAAGAAACATATTAACTACCTTCGAAATTCATGATTGTCAATGTCCCAATATCAGCATCTTTATAAATGAACAATTTGAGTGACCTGACATGTTCATTTTAATTTCTAGAAAATCTAGGAAAACTCAATTACAGTGTATGGAGTCTCACTAATTTTTTTTAACATGACACCTAACCCTCAGAGCAGTGCTCCACAAATGCCATAAGAACTGGCAGACAGCCGTCTGCAGAAAACCTTCATGTACAGGTGAATATGCTACTTACAGCATGTGAATGGAAGGATTGCTTCATGCATGTTGAGTAGCACAGTGTAGAACTCGTTCGCATTTGCCTCAGTTGAGAGGTTATAGCTTACAATCTTGCTTCAAGGCCTCCCTGTGTAGAGTTTGCATGTTACCTGAAGTGAATTTAAGTTTTGCGTGTTATTTATTAAAATGTGACTTACGACTGGCTGGCAACTAATACAGGATGTACCGTGCCGCTCATCCAAAGTCAACTGAGATAGCTGGGACACCTTGCATAGCATGACCCCAATGAGGACAAGCACGATAGCAAACGGATGGATGGATTATGTGTGTTACTGTCTCAATAACTAATTATATGGGAGGTATTTCTTTTGGACTCTGCCTTATTATATGAGCAGCAATGTCTGCTCTAAGGTGATATGTGGTTATATGGAATCTGAAACTTATTTCGAAATCTATGTGGTTCGTGTTTACACAAATTTCAAAAGTTAGGTTAATTATTTCTTAACCATGTGGTGTGACATCTGTTTTCGTAGAACAGTATCCATCCACTTTCTAAAGCAGCTTTTCCTCATTAGGGTAGCAGGTGAGCTGGACCATAACCCAGCTGACTGAGTGAAAGACTAGATACACCCTAGAATGGTCACGGGCACATTTTAACTACGAGAACATGCAAGTTCCACACAAAGGTGAGATTCAAACCCAGAACTTCTTGACTGTGAGCCACATTTGCTATTTCAACACAACCATAACACACACATTACTTTCAAAACCCCAAACTACAGAACTGTATGGTGGGTGTGATAACAACTAGGCCACCATTGTCGTCCAATATCACTGTTAAGTAGACTAGAGGTCTGTAAAATGTTATTTGGGCATGGACAAATTGTTCAAATGTAATGTATTTGATATACTCCAATGATTGCAGCTCAGCACATCATATCACAGAACACATTTGCCTAAATGTGAGTGCATAAGTTTCAAATTACTGGGGAAAAAAAACATTAAGTGACGTTTTAGTATTTAGTCTTTGCCTGGAGGTGTTTTAATTTCAAATGGCCACATCAGATAGACTTACTAATAGAACCTCATAAAGGGTCTGTGGTCAAATAGTTAGACTGTCACTGTATCATATAGTCTATATCATGTTCTATTGTCATTTTTGCCACTCTCACATAAGTACCCATCCATCCATACCTTAGCTGAACTGCTTTATCCTCACAAGAGTTGCAGGCTGCTGGAGCCTATCCCAGCTGTCTTCGGGCAGTAGGCGGTGCACCCTGAACTGGTTGCAAGGCAATTGCAGCGGACACATAGACAAACAACCATTCACACTCACAATCACACTAACGGACAATTTTGAGTGATCATTGCATGCCAGTGATGGGTCCATGAGGCCTCATGAGGAGTGTCAACACACTGACGCACTGTGTTGATACTGTGCTGATACTGTGTCGCTGACCACTGCTACCTGCTGGACCTTCAAAATCCCTGCAGCCAACCCACTTGACAGACTGAACTGACTGATTTGATGATGAAGTGTATCCAATGCACTACCTCACTTTACCCACAATAGCCACAAGTGCCATTGTTTATGTTGTTGTTTATTCTGTTTATATTGTTTATATCATCTATACTGTTTATACTGTTCAGATTACATATTATGTCTTTTTTATACAGTGTAGCTGTATCCTTTCTTAGCTGTGTGTGTTTAATGCTCAGCATGTTTGCATGCATATTTGCACTGAGGATTGAGAGGAAGAAATTTCATCTATGCTGCATGTCATACATAAAGCATATTTGACAATGAAGATGACCTTGACCCTTGACAATATCATTCACATCCATGCATTCATATTGTATCATTCAATGTGTTTCAATAATGTGAAAATCATGTGAATGAGATTGTGGGCTTTGTCTTCACAAATTTTTATTCAGAAAAATAAGATGCTCCAGTGTTTTAAATTTCAATCTGTTACGTTTCTTGCATGCTATTTCCCCTGCTGTGGAGAACACACACACAATGGAATAAGACATGGTGAGACAATCCGAGAGGCACTTGGTGAGACAAGGCGATTTTAATAAATACCTTATTCTCCAAAAGGAGATCAAAAACGCTCTACACGGCGGACAATTTGCGTTTGTCCGGAAGCTGCTCCATAATATGCACGTACTGTAGCAACGTCACTCGAGTGAAGCGCGTCTCAGCAGTCGATAGTCCGCTGCTCTCTGCTGTGCGCTCGTGAGCGCAAGCACGTACTCACGGCGCCGACGCAACCCACGCCACATATTAAAGAAAAAAAAAAACTACGTAGTTGTGTGGACTTTTGTTTTTAGCCTCCACATCCTGTTCCTGTGTTTCACCTGCAGGTGGCAGAAGAGGGACATCCTTTCATCTTGCATACCTGCTGCCAACATAATCCACCGACTATTTAAGGACTCCCATGTTGTCATGTTTCTGTCGGATAATTCGCCTTGCTCACGGCTGTCACCAAGTGTTGAATTAGGGGTGCCCAAACTTTTTGGACCGAAGATCGACTTTTCGATCAACCAACCTCCCGGGATCACCCCTTACAGCGCGCGGGGTGCTGTTGTTATCCCCAGCCCTCATGGGATAACAAGGATTCAATTTTTAAGAATTTTCTTAAAACGGTCGAAAATGTCAACATGTTAGGCGCTCAGGCCAACTTGTCGGGACCCAGGTCATATTTTCCCTTTTTGGAGGCCTGTTATTCCCAAATGCAACATCGGATTCGGACGAGAGTGGTCAGGTTGGATAGCCGGAGTGCTGTAGTTATCTCCAGACGTACAGCCCTCACGGGATAACAAGGATTAAATTTTTAAGAAAATTTTCAAAACGGTTGAAAATGTCAACATGTTTGGCGTTCAGATCAACTTGTCAGAAATCAGGTCAACATGCCAGTTTTCAGAGGCCTTTTATTTCAAAATGCAACATCGGACCCTGACGAAGGTGGTCTGGGTGGAGAGCCGGGGTGCTCTAGTGTCCCCCACACCTAGTCCTGCTGAGGGATAGCACGGATTCCTTCTTTTAGGATGTTCCAAAAAACGGGCAAAAAGATCAACATGTTTAAATGCAGGTCATGTCAGAACGCAGGCCATCTTGTCACTTTTCAGAGGCCGACATCAGATCCGAATGAGGGTGGTCTGGTTGGATACCTGGAGTGCTCTAGTGTCCCACGGGCCTGATTTGATTGAGGGATAACTGAAATACATTTTTAATAATCTTTTGAAATAAGGAGAGGAGGTCAAAATGTCATATTTGAGAGGCATTTTAATTGGTAATGGAACATTAGATCTGAATGCCAGTACTGTGGTTTTATACCTGGCATGCCAGAGTGTGTCGACAACCTGGTGTGGTTGCGCAGTCACCCAGAATGATTTTTTAAATGATTTTTTTTTTAAATATCAGGTTAAATTGATGTAGAATTACCATTGACTTTATTTTCCATGTCCACTTGAGAACGCTTTTCTGTGCTGTTCTGAGAGTTCTTGTTCTTCCCGGGTGTTCTATAAATATATAAAACCCACAAATCCACTATTCATCAAATCAAATACAATGAAATTCTATGACCTGGTTGACTTCAAAATTGCCCAATTAATGTATAAAGCACATAACAATCTCCTTTGTCAAAATATCCAGAAGCTTTTTGAAATCAGAGATAGTTGTTATAATCTAAGAGGTATTAATCAATACAAAAAATCCAGAACAAGAACAAACATCAAGCAAAGATGTGTATCAGTAATAGGAGTTAATCTGTGGAATAAGCTTGAGATGGATCTGAAAATGAGTAAATCGTTGGACGAGTTCAAAAACAAATTTAAAAGATTAGGACAAAAAAACTACATAAAACAAAGTTAAGAAGATAAATTTTACATACTGGTACTTACAAAATATAGTAATACTATGGTTTGTTCCTGTTCTGGATTTTGAACAACTTATTGAATGTATTCAAGAAATGTGGTATATATAATGAATATGAGTTATTTGATATAAAAAGTAGAAAGAATAATGATACATATATACAAACTGAAAGGTGTATCAATAGGTAAGCATAGTACACAAAAGGGTAAAAGTATTTGATGAAATTTAGATTTCTTCTTTTTCTTTGGTATTGGAAATGATCAATATACATTATTGCTCAAAAAGGGGTAGGACTAGATAAGTTGTATACTTCTTCCTACTCCTTTGAACATATAACTGTGATGATGTTTGTATTACTTACTTTTACTTTTATTTTCCTTTCATAATTTTTGTTTGCATTTTGTCATGTTATTGTATGTTTTATATATGTTCAATAAACAAACAAACAAACAAACAAACAAACGTATCGTTAGCTGACAGCCAAGAAATTACTTATTTTATATTTTTATTAATTTCTTTTAATCCAAACAAATGACGTTTATGCATTAGTGGAGGTGCTTTTATTTTGAAGGTGGCCAACGCCGCTCGCTGGCGGCAGACTACCGGAATGCAAAGCACTGACAATCGCAGTGGCCTCTCACTTGACTTCGATTTTGCGAGTGGAGGCTGGCTCGACCGCAGTTTTCGACTGCGGGCAGTTTTCGGATCTACTTGGGACCAGTCCTAGATCTACAGGTCGATCAGGATCGACGTAATGGGCACCCCTGAAAAATTCTAGAAGCTCCATGATCTTGTGCTTCATTTTTGTTCCTACCAGGTTTTCTGCACTTTCCTTCGAAACGAAAGGAAAAAAACTTCGTAAGTAGTTTTTCATTGTACTGTTGTTGTAGTCACGGTTTGTGTATGATACGCATTTGGGTTTCTTCATGTCTATTTATTGACAAGCAATTTCTGTTTATATTTTTATCCTTGCCTTTGTTGCAATCTTGTTTCCCTTGCCAGCATTCTTTGTTGAGGGCAGTTCTCTTTTTAAATTAGTTCAACAAAACAAGCACCACGTACCACTTGCTGCTTAGCATAACTAAATTAACCCTTTTTTTTTTGTAAAAATAAGACATTTTGATACCTATCACTGTGTAGATCCCAAAATGCATCACTTAGCATTCTATGCAGCAAAATACAAATGCAAATAACATTGCTGATATTATAAGTACTTAATATACAAACATACAAATAAACGTGGTCGATAGTTATGATGAAAGTAGTGATGGGACAAGCGACACTGGTGCGTCAGAATCCGTCTTTAATTTTTTGGTTTCGATTGGCAGTTGAAAAACGAAAGAACGAATGATACACGGATTCGTCAGCACTGTGGCGAGAGCTCAAGAGTGAAACCCCGTGTCAGTGCGTGTATTGTTTTAAGAAAGAATCACGTGACTGATGAAGGAAATGAATCGTTTGGATGTGTCAAGCCAAAGTGTGTTTATAAGGAAACAAACTGTATCAACATGTCATGGGTTTGTTGGATGGAGTTTTGCGTAATTATGCATCGTTCTAAGAAGTTTTCCTTCGTGTGGAATAATTTTGATCTTGTGACGCCAAACAAAGTAAATATTTTTCTCCTTTGAGCATTGTTTACTGTTACAGACCGTTTTTTTTACGGTGGTGCATTGCACTCACTTTATCAGTTTACCTGTGATACATATGATAATCAGTTTAAGAGCCTTACAGTTGCTTTATTCATTTTATCTCGTAATTACGAGATCCTCCATAATTGAATCCAACACTACCTGGCAGAAGCAAACACACCCAGAAATTGGTCCAAGACCCTTGACAATATTGGAAATGTAACCAGAAAACATATCCACATCTGCATCAAATTGCACTAAAAACCCTGATGCTCACCATCGTCATCTGTACCATGTGAAAGAGCATTTTCTAAGGATGGGGAGCTGGTGTCTAAGAGGAGAAATCGCCTTGTAGCAAAGACAGTCCAAAAACTTTTGTTTCTCAAGACAGTATAAGTTCATAAACTACAGTATCACTTTTTTGTATTTTATTTCATATGATTTAACAGTGAACAAAAATGTTCTACATATGTTAAAAATTGTAACTCAAAATTGTACCTCAAATTCACTGTATTTTCCATACCAGCTCAGTTAAGCATTTACACAAAAAAAAAATTTTAATTACCTGCAATGATTGTTTAACTACTGCAGGGGTCGCTATTGGGTGACCAACACAGTGTCAATACAGCGCCGACACAGTTTGTGTAGTGTGTCAATACACTCCTTGAGGTATCATCGTCCCATTACTACTGTGTAGTCATACAAAATAATGAATACTGATCTGAAATACAGCCCACTCATCATCAAATTTGGATAATTATTGCTAATGAAATTGTAATGACAGAGTTGTATTTTCATCCACTGTACGCAAAATGTCCTTGTCTGGCAGACCTAAAATGGTGCCCAAATTCATCGGAGAATCGGAAAGTTAAATCTGAGAAAAGTTGAGGATCCCTTGTTTCACTCAAAGTGACAAAGTCTCTTTCTGTTTCAGTATGACAAAACCTCTTTCTGTTTCAGTATGGCTAGCGAGGAAAGCACCCTCTGCTGCACGTTTTCAGCCCCGTGCCACAGTGCCATTCTCCTCCAGGGCTTGTCAATATTGAGGGCTCAAGGCCAACTTCTTGACGTGGTGCTGGCCATCAATGAGGAGCGCTTCCAGGTCCACAAAGCTGTGCTGGCCGCTTGTAGTGATTACTTCAGGTCAGTGTGGACAACAGGACTATTTCAGATTCCGTTTACATTTTAAATTCAAATTGACTTCCACACTCAAAGCAAAACACTTTGACTGAAAGCAATTTGGCGGGGAGAAAAAGATAATGCAGTGGAAATTGTCAGACACATAACACTTTCAAAATATTTCTCAGAACACCGTTTGATCTGAGTACAGGCCCTGCAAAAAATAAGGAATCACAAGTCTCAGAGGGTGTTCATTCAGTTGTTTAAATTTGTAGAAAAAAAGCAGATCGCAGACATAACACAAAAATCTAAAATCTGGAACAAGTACAATCAACATGAGAAGTACAAACAAAAGTACAAACAACATGGGAAAGTTTTTAAAGGCAAGCATACTACATACATAGTGTTTGGGGGCAGAAATCTGTGTGCCGTCTTGACCCGTGGGATGATTCATCACCATGTAGCACTTTTGATGGCGGCGCGGGCACCTGCAGCGGCTCCTCTCTCTCCTGAGGAAAGAAATTTCATCTGTGCTGTATGTTGCACATGTAGCACATGTGACAATAAAGTTGACATGAACATGAACATGTGGAGAAGATTTCAGACCTTTGTGAAAAGGTGGATAATCCCCATACCGTTTTCTTGTCATTGAGAACTTTGTTACAGAAAGTAGCTGTAGAGTGTGATTTCAGACCAAATGTTGTGAAAGATTTAACGTTTGCACTTGTATTTATGTTGCAGAGCTATGTTCACTTGCGGCATGAAGGAGTCGAATCAAAATACCATTGAGCTGGAAGGTTTGTCTGCCCGGGGCCTGAAGCATATTATTGACTTTGCTTACAGTTCGGAAGTCACTTTAGATCTGGACTGCATTCAGGATGTCCTTGGAGCAGCTGCTTTCCTCCAGATGGTCCCTGTTGTTGAATTCTGTGAAGAGTTCCTCCACTCAGCCATGAGTGTTAAGACATGCCTGCACATTGACCAGATGGCAACCACCTTCAGTTTGTCTTCCCTCAAGGCGTCGGTGGATGCCTTCACTTTTTGCCACTTCCTTCAAATAGCCGCGGAGGAGGACTTCCTGCACATTCCCGTGGAGCGCCTCGTCTTCCTTCTGCAGAGCAACAAGCTGAAAAATTGCCGCGAGATTGATCTCTTCCATGCAGCTATTCGATGGCTCCGACACGATGAGTCCCGTCGCACTCAAGCGAGCAATGTCCTCTGCCATGTGCGCTTCCCACTCATGCGTTCGTCTGAGCTGGTGGACAGTGTTCAGAGGGTAGACATCATGGTGGAGGACGTGCAGTGCCGCCAGTACCTCATGGAGGCCTTCAATTACCAAAGTCTTCCATTCGGAGAGCATGAGATACCGTCACCACGCACGCTCATTCGTTCTGACGCCACATCATTCATCACCTTTGGCGGGACCCTAGACATACCTTTCAGAGGCAAAGCATGCACCAAGGTGTATTATCTCCCTGATTCTGCTTCCCGTCAGTTTCAGCAGTTGACCGAGATGGACACAGGGTGCAGCCATGCCTGCGTCGCCGTCCTTGACAACTTTGTGTATGTTGTGGGTGGTATGTATTCCAATGAACAGGGTGCTGTTAACAGCTGTATGCGCTTTGATCCGAACTTGATCCGGTGGCTCCGCATCCAACCAATGCAGGAGGCCCGCTTCCTGTTTCTTCTCAGTGTCTTGAATGGAAAACTGTATGCCGCTGGAGGGCGCAATCGATCTGGCAGTCTGTCATCTGTGGAGTGCTACTGCCCAAAGAAAAATAAGTGGACCTACGTGGAGCCATTAAAAGACAGGATTTGGGGTCATGCGGGGACCCCGTTTGGAGAAAAGCTGTACATTTCCGGTGGTTATGGCGTCTCTTTGGATGTCATGAAAACCCTTCGGTGTTATGACCCAGTGGCCGACCAGTGGAACTTCAGAGCGCCCATGAACGAACCTAGAGTGCTGCATGCCATGATATGCAGTCGAGATCGGGTCTATGCTTTGGGTGGATTCGTGAAGCGTGTGGGCGACTGTTTTGATGTGCTGACTGTCGAGCATTACGATCCACAGAGTGACCAGTGGACAATCGTCAGCCCCATGAGAACAGGCCAGACCGCGGCTGGCTATTGCCTACTGAACGGAAAAATCTATCTTGTCGGGGGCTACAACTTGTACCAGAACAAGGTCACGAGCATTGTCCAGGTGTACAATACAGAGACTGATAAGTGGGAGGGACATTTACAGTTTCCTAAATCCGTATTTGGGATTGCTTGTACACCAATCGCACTTCTGTAGACACAGAATATCTGACCTCTTAGCTGTGAAAATCTGCGTTATTCTCCCGTAATTCAAGACAAGGACCGTAAATGGTCGGCATGGGATGAAGTGACTTCAATTTGATCACGACATGGAACTTCATGGCACAATACAATTTGATGCTGAGTTCGTACATCATGACTTGACATCGCTGCATGTGTTACTTCCTTTTGTTGGAGTTCACGTTTTGATAATGTCACATTTGATTTGGGGCAAATTGATATGGCAATTAAACTCCAATCAGTCATTACCAACGGTTACATTGTAGAAAGGGTTCCGTCAGTCGTCATCTGTACCTGTGGGTAAAAAACAAAAACCAAAAAAGGACGTTTCGCTTCTCTCACAGAAGCTTTGTCAGCGGTAGACAACTCTGAAGTCTCCGTGAAGACTCCGGGAAATTGCTCTGCGCTAAAAAGCTGAGCGTGGCCTATTTGAGGAAAAACAATGATAACAAAAGTGCAGTATACGCACACTTAAAAGAAACAAACCACACAATTGAAGATGAACAAGTAAAAATCCTAGGAACAGAAAAGAGATGGTTTGAAAGGGGAGTAAAGGAAGTGATTTTTGTTAAAAAATTTTCACCCTCTCTGAACCGTGAAGGAGGTATCAGATTTAACCTGTCTCCTATTTACAATAACTTGTTGACCACCAAGGGACATAGACATGCTGATCAGGCTAACTGAAAGTAGCTATTCAGCCCTAGCCCAAACAATAGGCCTAATCAAGACCCAACGATAGGGAATTTAGAAATCAATGGGCCTCTTCACCATAGGGGCGTGACCAACCATCCCCACCCAGTCCTCAAATAGGCCACGCTCAGCTTTTTAGCGCAGAGCAATTTCCCGGAGTCTTCACGGAGACTTCAGAGTTGTCTACCGCTGACGAAGCTTCTGTGAGAGAAGCGAAACGTCCTTTTTTTGTTTTTTACCCACAGGTACAGATGACGACTGACGGAACCCTTTCTACGATGGAACTTTCCTGTACGACTGAGAGCCTCCACAAGCATCAACGGTTACATTATTAATTGACAAGTTTTTTTTTTTTTTTTTTTTTTTGACCGTTGACTCAAGTAATGGCATTTGAAAAGGTAATTTTTGGATTTGGATCAATTGGTTAACCACTGTTTTAAGTCTTGCTCTCGTATGCTTTCCTTTGCTTTTTGGAGGGGCAGGCGTGATTGCCTTGAGTCAGATCAGGTGTAGAGCAGTGATGCACTGTATTTCGACTGAAAACCACCAATTCCTTAATTTTTTTCATTTTCTTTCTCACTGTCCTCGTGTAGTGTTTACAAAGGTCAGATCACATTCAAGCTACTATCTTGGTATAATTCCTGTGCGTGAATCTGTTGTAGCAGCAATCCGACACATTTGTGAATGTCTACTCTGAAGTGCTTTTGTCTTGTCTTTAAAACATCATGTCAAACAATTGTCTCTGATGTATTATTATTACTACGTTATTATGACTTTCCTACCCTCGTTCAAATGATATTGTCATTTTGACAACATTTTTCAAAACAGAAGGAAACATTATACTGCAGTAGTGTTTGGGAAAGCAATTGAAAGATAGGAGACAATCACGATGCAGAATCGGCTGAGGATGTATATTTCAATATGCATGTTGCCCTGTCAGCAAAAGCACATGATAATTTGAAGTGCAATATGGAGGGAGCTCTCTTCGCATGGGAATGTAACCATTCAATAAAGCTGCATCTTGTTTGAAAAAAGGCTCTCCTGTATAAATGGGTGTTTATGTGCATGTTTTTCTTGACTGTGATGGAGTATGAAACTCTTTTTGTCAATGAGCGCCTGTGTGTATATTTGGACCATGTATCACTTTCAGCATACTGTATCATCAGTTTTCCCTGCAATAATTACGATATGCCAGTTTCCATAACTGGGAGAGAAAGTATTGTACAGTTGGTAAAAAGCGGCGTAATACAGTGGCCATTTAAATGTTAAAAGAAAACGTGAAAAACGGAACCAAGTTCTGATTAGATTCTATTTGTTAATATCATTTCATGGATAAAAATGAATCATTTGCTAAACCAAGGATTTGAGCAGAGGTGGCCAGAATTCTGAAGAGATGTTTGTATAAGGTCAAAAATATTTTTTGTCAAAATATGGCGAGATCATTATTTTAAGAGGCGGACGATGATACATTATATCACAGCGTGTTGTGATTGACAGGTTCTAAACAGGCTAAAAACAGGTGCAGTGATCATGTACTACAGATCACATTCCAGTCGCTTGGGATGAAGACAAAAGTATTGCGGTCTTGAGGAACGAGTTTCATGAAACTGTTGTGGTATGCATGGTGAGCAGAGAGGGGAGATAGTTTGAGATCTTGCCCATGACTGTGATGCCATCTTGTGGCAACTTGTTGCCGAGGAACGAAAGAATGTTGAATTGACAAAAGGAGCTTCCATAGACTTTTCTAATACAGAAACAATGATTTGCCATGTCTTGTAGCAATCTTCCTTGAATTGTGTGGAAATACTGCTCTGTATTTTACGTTTTCAGCACAAAGAACTAGTTTAGGTCTGACCTTGTGTATTTTCTCAGTTTTCACTGTCGTGCAAGGTTTGCCATTCATAGACAGTATGCGCGAGCAACTCGGAGGCAAAAGCACTCGTCGGTCGCTCATGCGCCGCTGCCTGTATTTGATAAATACCCGGCGCGTTTTCACACACGAGACCCTCAAAGCCTACAAGAGTCTTGATGCTTATAATTACGTGTTATGTGGCCATGTTTAGTCGGTTCTTTTTCATCAAGCTGCTGAAAACTGTGACTTTTGTTTCCTGAAAGCCAATGTTTTGCCTCGTCAAAGACAGGGACAAAAGTCTCAGTGTTATCATGCCTGGGTATGTGTGAATAAAAAGACTGGCTCCATACTGACCGCTAACTGCACGTGCAAGGCAGGGTAAGTAGGTGTCTTCAAATTTCTATTATGGACAATGTCATTCAATTATCAAACTAATAAATGCTGAGAGGTTAATTTAGCAAATAACCATGCAGTTGTTCACTGTACCTAACATTTGTGTGTGACGAATGATAATGAGTTTAATTGTTGTAATTCATAATTATATATTTGATTTCATATTTAAGGACAACCAACGAGCACATAAACTTGCTGAGATCAATGACACCAAAAGCTGCAGTTCTCACAAGCATTTACTCACATGAGGACTCCACAGACAGAAACACTGCTTCAGAGTACAAGGACTGTCTTCCTGAGCCAGGTACAACTTTGGATGAAGAGTCTGCATGTGAGCTCACACCTGAAGAACTTTCATTGAAAGTTGATAAGACATTGCTCTGTTGTGATGGAGGCAGCTGCACAATCAACGGGTACAGGTCGATCGTCTGTAAAATAAATCATATCACATACATGTAAATACAATTTTTACCTGTGGGATTTTTGGTTGTGTTTTGTTTTGACCAAATGAGTGGACATTATTTTTCAGACGACTTACAAGTTACTTGTAAATGAAGGCTCACTAAAATTTCTGCAGCTGTCATAGTATCTTCATGGTCGGCGTTGATATTTGTGGGAAAAAAAAAAAAAATATATATATATATATATGCTTATGTGTGTTTATAAACTCATGCATCGATACAAGTTTTTCAATTTGGTGTTCATACATCATCAGTTCATACATCAAACCTATTCCAGGGGTGCCCAAACTTTTTGGATCGAAGATCTACTTTTCGATCAACTAACCTCCCGGGATCTACCCCTACCGGCACGCGCGAGCACACGCGCGCGCACACACACACACGCGCACACACACGC